CGTGTATGCCTGTGCTTGTATTTAATCACGCTCAACCCCAAGTCAATCTTTAGTTTAAAAACTGGAAGTTAAATTTATTATAAGTAAGGTAAGTAAAGGAAAGTTGTTTTTATACTCTACTTATTTCAACCTAGTTTTTGATTCTGGAATATTGCTTCATTCCATTATAAATAATAGAATTTTCATTTTATCACTTCTTATTAGTATAATAGTCCGCCGTAGAATGCAGCACAATGCAAGGAACTTTGAGTAGGCCTACTATGGGGTGGTTTGGCCATACTATTGTAAAAAATCTCCAGTAGTAGTCGTAGAAATAGTACAGTCCAAATCACCTTTGGAATAGCTTAATTTTAATCCATACTCGTAAATCCGGGTTTCGTTTTTACAAGTTTAAAATGCATTACTTAACAAATTTAAAATAACTTTTTAGCTTTCTGATAGCATAATAAAAGCGACGGGCGCAAACTAAAATGTATATTTAAAGGTGACGAGAAGAAGGAGAAAACAAGTTTAAATTTTAGTTTGTGCGTGCCCATCGCTTTTATTTATGGTATATCAGAAAGTTAAAAAATTATTTTAAACTTTTAAGCGCAATTTATAAAAGCTTTTTTTAAATATTTTTTTTTTTAGCGAAAAATGTCTGATGGATATAAAAGAAAACACCAAAGTGGACATGAAAAACGCAAAAAGAAAGAGAAAGTGAGTGAGTCGCTTAGTAAAATTAAAGGTTCTTTATTGAAATATGTTAACATTTCTAAGGAGACAGAAGATAATGCAGATGCGGTAGATATTTCCTCGATCGAGGTTAGACCTAAAGAAGCTGAGGCTTGTTGGGACTCGCAAGAATGTTCAACCAATAAAACTGAGAATGTCACAGAAGAGACGAGGCTGACGGGGGTTTACGAAATTTTAACGACGCTTCCAAGCAGGTGGTGCTTGAATCACTACCAACAACATCAGCCTCAAGTATTTTCAGTTCTGATCCAGCACGGTGGACAACCATAAGCGCAGATCTTATCGATTACTTCTCTCGTAATCAACCTGTGCAGAAATTGGATATAAATTTTAAGTTATACGCCACTAAATTTGGCGAAATAATGAGATGTCCATCACAAGATTATTTTTTCAGAAAACTGAACAACAATGATATTATAAAAAGGGACTGGTTGATATTTTCCGAATCTACTGGCAAGTTTTTTTGTTTATAATGTATTTTGTTCAAATCGGACCTACCTGGAAATCCAAACCTGTGTAACCAATTCCTTACAGGCTTTAATGACTGGAAAAACGCACATTCGAGAATTTCAAGTCATGAAGTGTCAAAAGAACATTTTGCATCTATTTCTGCTTTAGTGAACTACCAACAAACTAGAAAAATTGATGAGACGTTTGATATTGTCAAGGAAAAAGAAAGCACATATTGGACAACGGTTTTAAGAAGAGTAGTGGAAGTAATTAAGTTTTTGGCCGAAAGGGGACTAGCGTTTAGAGGCGATAATGAAATACATGGTGATCCTAGTAATGGCAATTTTCTTGGGTGTATCGATCTCTTAGCCAAATTTGATCCGTTTCTAGAAGAACATGTAAGAAGATACGGTAATCCAGGCCGCGGAAAAGTATATCATATTTATCCTCCACAACGTATGAAGAACTAATAATTTTACTGGGGTCAAAAGTATTGGAAAAAATAGTTACAGAAATCAAAGAAGCCAAGTATTATGGAATCACTGTGGATTCTACACCTGACGTTAGCCATACGGATCAACTCTCCATAGTTATTAGATATGTCTCAAAAACTGGAGATATATATGAAAAGATTTTTGATGTTTGTTAAAATAGAAAAACATGATGCCAAGTATCTTTTTGACACTCTAATTTCAGTTTTAGAAAATCAGGGAATAGACCCAAAATTTTGCAGATGTCAGTCTTATGACAATGCGGCTAATATGAGCGGAGTGTATTCGGGAGTACAAACTAGATTTAGGGAAATCAACAGCGCAGCCACTTGGGTACCATGTGGAGCTCATAGTCTTAATCTAGTTGGCACAGCGGCGGCAGAAAGCTGCTTAGAAGCTGTAAAATTTTTTGAAATTTTGCAATCGCTCTACAATTTCTTTGCAGCGTCCCCCCTCAAAGATGGTCTAAACTAAGGTCTTTGGGAAGTAAAATTTCTGTAAAAAGACTTTCAGAGACCAGATGGTCAGCACGTTATGAGGCTGTAAAAACATTATGTGCCCATTATGATGATATACGTGGTATTCTTACAAATATTTCAACTAGTGAAGGTATGAAACCTACAACAGTGATTGAGGCACAAACCTTAATCCATCAAATGAATACTTTGGAGATGGTATTACTCACAGTTATTTGGGAAGATCTACTAAAACACGTCGATATTGTAAATAAATCTCTTCAAGAACCTGGCATCGAGTTTAACACACGATGGTGCGACTTTACGACAGTTTAATTCAATATTTATCTCACTGCAGAACTGAGGACATGTATAATAGCTATTATCTTAAGGCAAAAGCCCTTGCAACCAGATTCAGAATTTAAAGAATCCGAAACTAGAGTTCGTAAGAGAAAACGACAGTTCGATGAAGGGCCAGATGAGACTCCCTCTCGCAGTGCCAAAGATTCCTTTAAGATTAATGTTTTTTTATTGTTCTGGATGTGCTTTGCGCTGAAATGACAAAGAGACGCACTGCGTATACCAGCCTTTATGACACATTTAGTTTTCTTAGGATAATACACTGACCGAGGACATTATCAAGGTTAAGGCTCAAGCTCTGGTAAAAATGTATCCGTCTGACTTAGAAGAAAACTTTGTTGATGAGTATTTGATTTTTTCAAATTTGTACCCCAAAACCACCTCTATAACGGATCTCATCAAATTACAAATAAAGGATAAACTTGTGTCAAGTTTCCCAAATGTTAATATTGCATTGCGCATATACCTTTCGATATTGGGTTCGAATGCAGAAGGAGAAAGATCATTCTCCAAGTTGAAGCTTATAAAAAATTTTATGCGTTCAACTATGGGTCAAGAGAGAACTTCGTCACTGGGCCTTCTGTGTATTGAAAGTGATGTCGCTCGCGGCATTAATTTTGAAGATATAATACACGAATTCGCTGTGTGTCAAAATCCCGCAAAAAGGAGTTATTTTAGGATCTACTTAGTAAACCAAACGTTTTGTATTCGTATTTTTTGTGTATTTGTATTTACATATATTATTTTGACCTTCACTATATAATAATATAAAAATGTTTATAAGTTTTTGGGGTATTTTTATTTCAATATATTTTTTTTCAAAGCCCTAAGACCTTTGGCCTTCGTAGGCCCTAGGCACGTGCCTACTGTGCCTAATTGGTAATCTGGCCCTGCTGACTGGTAGTCCAAATTGACACAGGCAGCTGAGCAATATACTTTATACATATTTTAGGGTCCACATTTTGGGTATATTTTAGACCTGTTCTGTGCATTTCACCATTTATATGTTTGTCTTCCCCAAAATAATCAAGATGATTTTTCTAGTTGTGGTGCATTTTTTTCCTTTACTTTCACAAAATGCATACATACACACACGTATAACTGTTTTTGTGGAAGTTCAAATAATACATCTAACAATTTTAAGTAAGGACCAAATTTAAAAAAAAAAAAATATTTTTTGTGCCTGCACTTTGCCAACTATTTTAATTTTTAGAGAAGAGACATTTTAGAAACTCGTTTTCATTTGTTATTAGAACTAAACATTAACAGCTCAAAAGAGAAAAAAATTAAAAAATGTAAGAATAGCTATTAAATTCATTCTCTTTAGCAAAAGACAAAGTTTGATAGTAAATAAGTCCAAACTAACACAAAGAATTGCTGTTGTAGTCAGAAGCTCCCCCAAAACTTCTTTTGCCATAATGCAACACAAAAATGTATAATTTGGAAATAAGATTATATGAAAACTATTATTTGGAGAAAAAATATTTTAAAAGTGCAGTTCTTTTAAGCACAAATAAATAAAAACAACTATAACATCCACAACACACTAAATCTCACATTAATAAAAGTAACCATAACATTAGAGGAAATATTGAAACTCACAACATGATATCCAGGAAAGTAAATTCAACTATTTTTTATATTTCTATAAAGAATACAACTGAACAAAGAAATGCCCTTATGTATTTTTAAATTATTGAACATTACAAGCTCTTAAAATTCCATTAACTAGTTTAACACCAGAAGCAAATGAAAAATCTTCACATCATTTTTATAATGCACAAAATTTCTTTTATATAATGCAAAATTAAAATAACAAAAAAAAAAAAAAAAAAAAAAAAAAAAAGTCACTTATTTGATGAATATTTTATCAGGTTGTCCAACCAATAAAGTGATTAGCATCGCTAACTGCTGTGCCGAAGCGCCCGGGTTCGAATCCCAGAGAAGGCATAGATGTTTATAAATGTATAGCGTTGGTGCGGCATGACGGCACACTAAATATGCGGCGAGCCGAAAGTCCTCTTGTGTGGCTTGGTGGAAGGGGAGAAGGGTAGGAGACCCTCAGATGTTCTCAATAAAAATTGGGGGTGAAAATGAGCAAAATCTCACTATCACCTGAATGGAGCTCAAGGCTGTCCAACGGCAGGTGTATTCTAGTGCTCCTCCTTGCCAGGAGGTATTTAGTGGGCTTGGGTTGACTATGTCAGACAAGTGAGCATTAGCAACAACAACAATATCAAAATATTTTATCAGACTTTCAAAACATTAGGAACAAAAAATAGTTTAACTTCTCTCAGTTTGAACAATGACTAGATAATGCAAAATATTCAAAATGCAATTTTTATTCCAAATAAATTTTTTCTATTTTTCAAAGTAACAAAAACTAACAATTTATAATAAAGCAGTATAAATTTCAACTTTTAGAGTTGTCATATGAACAAGTACAAGCTTGCCTAGTAGTGAATTAAAAATATTTCAAAAATACTTTTTTACCGGTTTAACTTAATACCTCATCATACTCTCCGTCAGATTCTACTCTTTCAATATATTCAACATTTTCTCTTTCATTGTAGCCACCACCAAGTCCTAAAATTAAAAAAAAAAAAAAAAAAAAAAAAAAAGAGAGAGAGAGAGTATTTATAAAAAGAACTGAATTTTTAAATTATGCATATTAATTCTCAGCTTTTTGTTAACTCTTTTCTACCTTTTCAACTTAAGCATGGAAGTTAAAAGATCAAAGAGTGGAAAAGGAATTTAAACTATAAACTATGAATTTTAAAATCACGCTTTTATTCATGTTTCTCTCACCAACTCAAAATCAAATTAAAAAAGTAAAAATGGATTTTATACATAAAACAAAATACAAAAATTGTTTTTAACCCATAGCGGCAATTAATTTCGTTTTGGCATTGTGCATTGATTCACTATAAAAGGTGAATCACTATTTAAATATTTGCCACCAAATATTAGAACCTTGTATTATATTTAAAGAAATTAAACAATGAAGAATCTGCATAAATGTGTGTATGTTTTTCACTTTGTGATAAAACAATGGTACTTAGAGCCATCAAATTTTGAATAACATACACGTCTTCACCTGAATATGGGCATCTGGAAGCACAAATTTGGAATTTGTTTTATTATCTATTTCATATTTCGTAAAGCATTTATGAATATTTGATTAAGAAACTCAATGATTTCAAAACATATTTTTACCACCAGTTTTTTTTTTTTTTTTAACCAGAAATTCTAAAGATATGCTTTTCTAAATATTTCGTGATACTGCTGTTGAATTGAATTTTATGGTTTAAGTGCAGAGGACATGATATTTAATAAATAAGGTGTAATATAAGATCTGAAGGCTTTTAGATTTTTTTTAACAGCATAATTTTTCTGTAGTCATTTTATATTATAATGTCAATTCAGTGTTCTATTATTTTATTAATTAAAATCTAGACCTGAATCTGAATTAAACAATATTTGAATACCATGGTATTTTCATTTTACTCTAAATACTGAAAATTAGTGATGGGAGATAAATATGTATAGCAAAAAAGAAATTCAATATTCAAATCAAGAAATACAACAGAAATAGAAATTCAAATTAATTAACAGTTGGTAAGTCATTTAAACTACAAATGCTTAAAATGAACACTTTTTCAGGCTCCCACTTTATAAAAAACATTAAAATGTTGTTGATACAGACAAGAAGGTTTGGAGGGGAAATTATTATTAAAAATTTTAGGACAAAAATTCAAAAGAAAGCAGCTAATGTCTGAATGTTCAGGTCAGAAACAGAATTTGGGAAATTTAATTTCCATTACTGGTCTTTATTATTATTTAAAAGATTATAACTTTTTTTTTTTAAATACTATCTTCTGAATAAGTTATAAAAAATACCAGGCTTTCATGTCAGTAAGTTCTTAAAATGTTTGAACAATATGTCACAGAACCATATATAGTATCTTACATACATATACACTTCTACATTTGCAGTTCTAATCAGCAGAACTCAACTATAAATACTTTTTCTTTCCATGTCTTAATGAGATGCTAGTATATACCTCATATGTACCTTCAACTATATATATTAAGAAGAATGGCTGTGTGTTTATTTGCTAATAACTCAGTCACTACTATAGCTATCTCGTCACCAAACTTTCTACAATTCTTTTCTGGGTTCTGGAAAAGGTTGACATCAACTTTTTCAAAATGAAAAAATAAACAAATAAAATAAAACAAAACAAAAAATAGAGATATTAATTAAAAATGCTTAAAACGCTAATTTTCATTTTCGTCTTCATTTTTCTGAGCGGCAACATTGCTGATATAAGCAATGTCGAGGAACATTAATTATTAGTTTATTTTTGGCAACCCAAATGGGCAAGTCCATATATCATATGGGTATATATACCATATGAGTCTATGATTATATAGTGAGTTGTGGTACATGCATTGAATATTACTTTGTTTCTTTGTCATTTTTTATACACTACAATGACACATTATATTCCATATGACCTGCAATATGCTATTATACAAATTTTCAAATGATGTCATGAGTAAAATAATACATTACTCTCAATCTAACTTAACTGGCATTGGGTACTTCAGAGATGCCAGTATACACCTTCTCTCCCTTGTGTATTTTCATTCAAGCCTTTTCAGAACATGATTTATAAATTTCTTAGTTACAGTAACAATGTAAAATATATGCTAGGGAATAGAACTAACATCACAAAGACAAGGGTTAAAGGTTTCCTCCACAAACTTTATTCTTTGTTGCATTGATATTATTATTTGAAATTTAATAATTATGAATTTCAATTTATGGTTTTTGTGAAATATTAGTTCTAAATTTCTTACTTTATGTCTTTAATGATAATTTTTCTGCAGCTTTATGCACAAAAATCTAAATTTTCACAAAGACCAAAAATTGAAATTCATAAGTAATAAATTTCAAATAATCCTATAAATGCAATAAACAATTTAAAAAATGTTAAAACCAAAACTTTTTAAAAAAGCAATACCCCAGTTAAAAAAATCAATGAAATTTAAAGAAAAACAAACATAATAGAAAAATTCAATCAACTTCAATGCCACTTCGTCAGGAGGAGGAACATTGAAATTTCTCTTCCATAAAAATTCTTGCTTTTCTGTATTCAAAATTAACCAATGAACCATTTCAATGTATTTTAATTATAATAGTTTACCCAAAAAATTCTGGCCCCTTCCCCAAAGCAAGGAAAAAAAAAAAAGTAAATTCTAATTAGCATCTTGTACCTTAAACAGAGAGAATTCTATTAAAAGAATTTAAAACATAAGTGAAATAATAAAACACTTCAGTGATAAATTCAAATGAAATTTTACCTTTAAACAAATAGCACATAATCAAAAGAATTTGTGTTAAATACAGGGTGACACATCAGATGGCTAGATAAGATAACGAAAAAGCAATATCTGATATGTTGATCTGATAATTCTAAACATCTGTTGCAAAATTAGGACTTAATGAAGTATACCTTCAATATGGCTGTAATGAAAGTCACGTATTTGAACTCCACTAACTCCCACACTCCCTAATATAATCGCTGTTGGTGTCAAAATCGTCAGTTCTTAGATTTGAGATCATTCATAGACCAATAATATCATGACAAATGACAGACTATCACGCTTGGTAATTGTTCAGTATGATGGCAGGTAAAACATTATATTAAGATGGCATTCAATTTTATAGCATCTAATATACACTGGTGTGCAAAAATTAAGGACGAGACGGTTTTTTCAATATAACTTTGTACAAAAGCTTTCCAAATCAACGCACTTAATACCGTAAGATCCCCAATACGTAAGGACATGAGTAATGTAAGCAACACTTACTAAAAGAGAAATCAGAGGGATAAAAAGAAGCTTTATTGAAAAAGTAGACGGAGCGCAATGCGACCTGAGGCCGAAAAATCCCTGTGATGGGTGTCCAGCAAGAAACATCCGGTCTTTAATAGGGGATATGATCTCCCCTGACTGCTAGGCAGGTTTCACAGCGTCTGCCCATGCTGAGAATGAGGGTGTCAATGAGTTGTTGAGACATTGCTGCCCATTCGTCTTGCAGCGCCAATCGAAGCTCCGGAATTGTTACTGGTGGTACGGTACAAGCTTGCCAAGCGTCTGCCTAGAAAATCCCCTACATGCTCGATGGGATTGAGATCCGGAGATCATGCCGGCCAATCCATACGTTCAATATCCTCACTCTCTAAGAGCTGTTCGGCAGCTACTGTGCGATGACATGGTGCATTGTCGTCCATGAAAAGGAATTGCGGACCCATAGAGCCTCTAAAAAGACGCACATATGGAAGAAGAATCTCGTTACATTAACGGTTCCCGTTGACTGAACCTGCGTCGAAGATGTGAAGGTCTGTACGACTACCAAGCATGATGCCTCCCCAAACGAGAACACCGCCACCTCCATACCTGTCCCGTTCAATGATGTTTGAGGGATGATTGCGGCTTCCCCACTCTCTCCAGATGAGTATGCGATGAGAATCGCTACTCAGACTGAATCTGCTCTCATCTGCAAAGAGTACTCATCCCCATTCATTGTCTCTCCAATTTCGGTGTTCCCGGCACCACAGAGAACGCTTTTTCCGATGGGCAGGTGTTAGAGGTACACACCATACAGGGCGTCGTGCAAACAGACCATCACCGTGCAGTCTTCTGGCCACGGTAAAACGCGATATCGGTCGTCCAGTCGCCTGTGTCGTGTGTCTAGCGATTTCTCCCGCCTGTTTTTTCTGGTCTGTAAGGCAATATACCGGTCATCTGCGGGTGTGGTTCCTCATAGATGACAACTACTAAACCCCCGGATAGCTGTTCCTGTAGTTTGAAATTGTCTCCAAAGTCATGAAACGATGCTGTGAGCAATTCCGAACTTTGCAGCCACACTTGTCACACTGCGGCCTTCCTCCAACTTCCCAATGATTCAACCTTGGGTAAAAGCATCCAGATGTCGTCTAACAGATTGATTATTCGCCTTTCTCGCTGAGGCAGCAACTCGGTATGATTTTAACTGCTATACGGCGTGCAATCTCTTTGCCAGAAATACTGATCTTACACCGACAACATGCTTTATACTACTCAGACACTCCCCCATTACGTCTACCTGCATATCTGCGCATGTGCTACCGTACATCACCTTACTTAATCCCCTAACTGGTTTTTCAGTCCGCTCTGCCTCTTCGTTCAGCTGATATGCTAATTTTTCGACTTCGTCCTTAATTTTTGCACATCAGTGTATATTTGATGACTGTTAAGTTCCAAATTAAAGCACAATTAATTGGAAAAGACAGTCTATTGCAAACTGGCATGCAAGTGGTCCTGTTGGTGAGCCTCTGTAGCCACAGGCTTCAATAGTTTTATGTTAGGGAAATCCTGAACAAGGGAAGGCAGGCATGCTATCCATGGCACAGCAGAAACTAGTGAACAACTGAAGCTGACAAAATCGAATTTGTAAAAGAGTTCCAAAAGTGCATCAACTGTCAAGATGAAGCTGCACAGTTTATTACTATCACATGGTTGGTGTCTCCCATCCCAGTAATATTCCATAGTCTGTCATCACCAGGTTTGTGACTTGTCATGTTCTCTGGAGCCTACTGCTTTCATACCCACACCAGTGACAAGGTATTATGTCACATAGACGCTGCAATTTCATTATAGGAATATTTTCTAACAGGTTAATAGTTTCATCATATGCCATATAAATGGTTTATATTAAACTCTTTATCATGAAGAAGCATGTTGATTCCTCATGAAGTATTTATCACATCTAGATAACAAAAACTTTACTTTTTAACATTCCACTACAACCCTCTGCTAACATGACAGTTCAGAGAAAGCTGCTCAACTTAGGCATGCATTATCATTCTGAAATTCTTTCTCATCAACTGTATATTACACTCTGCTTTCCCTTTTCTATACATTTCAGTGTATTCACCCGATTCCTTCATGGTGTTGCAATTTTTACAAATTCCTTCATGGTGTTGCAATTTTTACAAACAGGAATGTGTAACATTATTGTAAAAATGCATAATGTTGTTTAATTGATGTAGACTTCATTACACTAAATCCAATGAACACATATAAACTAAAAATATTCTAAATGGAAGAATGATTTTAAAATTCTGAACATTATTTTATAAATGCTAACCTGTTCTTTCTTCCACTTCACCAAATTTTGGAGCATTGCACATGTTGCATTGTTGTCTCCTGGCCCAGTTTACATTACCACACCTGAATAGGACAGATTTGGAATTTATTTACCAAAAATTTTATAACTATCAAATTTCACAAATAATTTATACCACAGAATTTCATAATAGCAAAACTAAATAAAAAAAGAAAAATGAGAATCAACATGTTAAATTAGAAATTATTAAGAAAATTAAAAAATGAAGTGAATATTTTAATAGAAAATTTAAAGCTACAGTTTCTTCTAAATTGTTATAAAAAGAGGTGTTAGAATGTTCTTGTGAAGAAAACGGGCCTATCTCAATTTACCCTAAAAATCAATGACTTGCAATCTATGGTAATATAAAGGGACACCCCCCCCAAAAAAAAACTCTGAAGTATTTGTATTTTTACTTAACAAATTAGCAAAACATAAAGTATATCCATTTGTAGAAAATATTTGGTAGTAAGCAATCCAGTGATGCAAAACTATGTCTTGAATAATTCAGTCTTTTATTTATTTATCATATTGTTATAAAATGCCCAGCCGCAGTAAGACAGGTTCCCATAAAGTGGGTTTAGGATTAAAATAGCAAGGGAAGGCAGAGTTGCCATGTTTGGCAACAAAATTGGTGATATGCCATAAAGCTACATAAAGCCTGCCTGTACCAACGACTTCATATAACAGGTAGATGGCTCCCCCACAGAGAATTCGTCTGCTAGGCTGTCTCCAACATATACCACGCGACTTATGGTCTTGGCGCTCTTGGGGCGTAATAGCTTAGGCTGTTCATTGCCAATTTGGCACGCTTTTGATATGGCAGGTAGTGTTTTTTATTTCCGTTTGATGGCAGTTGGCAAACATAGACCTCGAATTAGGTTATTTGATTTTTTACAATTATTTTTACATATAACTTAAGCCCTTTTTTCCTGAATATTTTATCTATATTTTTAATAATCGCTTTAAATTATTTGCGCCATTATTTAAGATGTTTAGGTTAAATAGTTTTAGGAAGAAAAAACTAAAAATAAATATAAAAAATTGAGATGGAAACTTTAATTTTGAATAACATTTAAAAATTAATTGCACTACTGCTATAATATTGAGAAGGTAAAAAATCTCGTTTTTTTTTTAATGCATTGCATCTAAAGAGAAAAAGAAAATCAATTGTAATATGTGTATTTAAGCAATTGATAAAATATACTTACAGACTGTTGACTTTCAGCTGGAACTATAAACTATTACTGTCCAAACTTATAATATAGTTTATGATACAAAAAGATAAATTATACTGAAAATCACCTACTCAAACTGGTAGTCAAGTATATTCCAAATTTCCCATTTTTGATTTGTGAATAAGTAATGAACTTTTTAAAACAAAAACACACAATTTGACCGAAATATAGAAACTAAAAATTTTTATATACTACATGAATAACGTTATGAAATACAATATATATGGCTCTGATATGGAAAATTTGACTTATGAAACTTTTTTTTTTGGAGATGGTATAAATTTAAAAAAAAAAATTAGCTTGTAAAACCATGGAAATCTTTATAGATATATAAAGAATATATGTGATATTTACTTTAAAAAAATTAATACATAAAACAGAGTAAATAAAATACAAACTACAAATTAAAAATACATGCTTTTATTTTAACAAATAAAGTGCTTAAATAAAACTGACTGTTTCACAGAAAAGAAAAAAAAAAACTTTTCTGAATAGAAAGTGAAAACTAATAAAGATATAATGATGAAAGCCTCATTCAAACCTGCAGAAGTTCACTCAGATATAGTTTTGATGATTTTTTTGACAAACTATACATATATATATATACTGTTTGTATGCAACAAAAAGTGAAGGCTTATTTTTTAATTTAACTCCTACTGCAAATCTTAATACACACTTAATTCTCATTATAAATTAAAGAAAATTCTGTAGTTATGATACATTTATGTTGCTAAAAATAGTTTTAAATGAAAAGGTTTTTAAAAATATCTTAAATTAAACAAATATTACTATGAAAGCAAAAACTCTGCAATCAAATATTGAGGTGATTAAGTTATAAATAGGTGGCACTTTTAAGTATAGGCAATTTGTTGACATTACGAGTTAATACCATTTTATTCCTTTTACTTATAATGCTTGGTAAGTTTGAATTCTCTGCCACTTTATTCCTGCTTTACCAGATCATTCTTATACATATTAGCTTAAATTTAAAAAAATGAGGATTTATTCATGCATTATTAGCTAAGATACACTAGTATACAAATTTTCAGTTCATTTATAGATTTTGAATTAGCTTTTTTTTTTTTTTTTTTTTTTTTTAACAAAGTAAACATATCGCACAATCTTATCTCAATAATTTAATAATAATAGCTTTTTTTCTTTTTCTTTTTTTATCGCAGGCAGTACTTGTTCACAAAACCAAAACACGTGCGACTTGGTGAAAAAAGGCTAGCGCCAATTGGTGCAGCTTTCTATTTCAATGGAATACACGGAAAATAAACATAAAATTCAATTATTTGTAAAAGGCGATTCCAGTAAATAATGTCACAGTATTTAATACATTTTGATGCTATTAAAACATGCTGAAAATGTCATATACAGCAGCAATTTTCTTATACAATATATCGTGGAGAGTCTCAAGAGTACGTTGCGTTCCGAGAACGATTGAACTGAGTTGGGAGCTGTACTCTAGTGCTTTGCCTTGAAGCTGTCTTCACCGTTATAGCCTAACTGGCTACAGTGCTGATTCTTTCAGGGTGTTTGCTGTAGTTTTTTGTGACTGTAAACATGCTTTCGGAGCTGTCCTGAGTAACACTTGCTACGACATTGTGTTTTCATTCTTCATCAAATGTTGTAAGTCACTCTAAATCCACAAACCCATAGAAATGCAATAATACCATACTAGTTTTGATGTAGTGTTTGTTAATTTACAATGAATTAAGAGATATTTTCCTTACTATTTGGCTTTCCTAATTTAAATATAAAATTTCATGTTCTGAATTGTTCATTTTTGGGGAAAAAAAACAACTCTTAATACTACTGCAACTGCTTACTTTAAAACTGTCTCAGACATTAAACTTAAATCCACACAGCAAAATCAGGGTAAAATTTTAATCTTAAATTTTTTTAAATATTTCCCCCTTTTTTTTTAATTTATTTATTTTTTATCTTTAACATTAACATTCACTTAGGCTGTAATTTTTGGAGGGGCTAATTTTACATAACAAATGTTACAGTAAAATGTTAGGATAGTCTATATTTTAGGGTACTCCTTGGATTATTGCCAAGTTGTTTCATTTATAGTAACCTGAATATTTTACGGTGTATGTTTTGTAAACTCTATCATGACGTGATTGGTTGTACTGTATGACTGCACGGAGTTTGACTGTTGCCATAATATTTCTGAGGGCTTATTTCTGTGTTGAATGTTGGTTAGGAAGTACATTGCTTATTTTGTGCTTTACACCATAAAATGTTTGCAGATGGTAAGACTAAGTTGATGTTTTTGTACGATTTGGAATGAATGGGAAAGAAAGCATTGTTGACTGGACAGAAAAAAATAAACTTTGCTGGATTTAATTCAACGGAATAGCTTACCTGGAACAACAATTATATCCAACCGCTGGAAGTCATACAACTGTCTTTCTGATAATGGCTTCGTTCAACTCTCAGTAAATCATGCAGTGACATTTAAGGATCTGGAAACCGGAGCTCATATCAACACTATCGAAGGTACGTAGAGTGTAATAAAAAGGGGTTTTCGAAAGAAATGCCACCGACAGATATTTTTGATTCTCACTTTTTTGTAAATTTATGTGACGATGGCATTATACAAATTCTAGTTATGATAATTTTCAACAGTTTTTGGATGTTGTTAAAGAATTCCATGTGATATACACCGAAATTTCTAAATAAGGTAAGTCGATATTTCCTTTTTGTATTGCACAGAGCAGATAACATATATTTTTATGTTAGTTCCTTTTTTTTATTTATTTAAAATGCAATGCAAGATTATAATTATTTTTATGTTTTATTGTACTATGTTTTGGACACCATTTTACTTGGAAGGGAGTTGCACGTAAACAGAAATGGCGCCAAAAAAAATTTCCAATTTTCGTCAAGGGGGAACTTAATACACTTTTCCCAAATATCAATAAGAAATATATATTATTTTTAAATGATTCATTTTGTTACAATGATCACTAACACATATTTAAAATACATAAAATTAAAGTTCTTGCGTGGGCTTAATTTTTCAAGAATTTTTAACTTCCAAATAATAAAAACAAAAACTTCTCAAGTGATAAAAAAGTCTACACTCATCAACAGGGTTCGTACACATTTCTGCACACGGAAATTAAGTACTTTTAAGGACTTTTAAGGACCATTAATGAAAAAAATTAAGGACCTATGAGCATATGGGAACTGATTAAATTCAATTAAAAATATTATTCTATGCCTGAATTTCACTTTTTTAATACCACCCTAAAAATAAAAAAAGATCCCTAAGTAATATGCATTATTACCAAACGTAAATTAATTAACATAATTATTAATTTGAGAATAAAATAAACATCATGCAGTTTATCAAGTAGCATTAAATATTTTACACTTATAATATGTTGGACATATTTGAAAGAAAACAAGTGACATTTATGTTTTACTAATAGCTTTATGTTGATTTTTTTATGTCTCATTTTGTCACATACCAGGGTTGCCACTCAAACAGGAGAATGAAATTCCCTGACTTTTCCAGGTTTTCCAGGTGTGTTTCAAGAAAATTCCAGTCTATCCTCGTAATGTACGTTGGCTGTGCTAAGAGGTAAATTAATTATGGTATACTTGTATTGTGTAGCAAATTCACTTAATTATTCAATAAATCCAGAGGACATTTATTCTAATTATTCTTGGTATACTTTGTTTGATAATTTTGTTTAGTTTTCCCTTAAGAAACTTAATAAAATTTAAGATATATATATGGGATAACAAAATGTAGTTTTATTTAATTATTACTCATGATCATCACCAGTTCATCACGAGGCTAATCC